AAAAAAAAAAAAGAAAAAGAAAAAAAAGGCCTAGTGATGCTCACCAATTCCTGTTTGCCTGTTTGCTCACCTTGAGGTCATAACCGTTCAAATGCCTGTACCAGCGTCATGGCGTCACCGTCTTCAACACGAGACGCGTCCTTTCCGAGAGTGAGTATGAATATTGTGGGTATCGCTCAGAACGACATCCAACGAAAGGTGAAGAGATGAATTAGTAGGTAGTACAGGGCAAGGGGACGTGAGTCTCTCCCCCACTTTCGCTGACAGAGCAGGCAGACTCTGAGGGCTGGGACTTGACCTTGACCTTTCACCTACCTACACAATGGTGGTGGTGTTTAGAACAGGCGATTTCATTCGAGCTCACGTGGCAACCAGTTAGGCGTTTCTCAGACAGGCCCGGGCGCCCCTTACAGGCCCTTCAGAAGAGGAGGGGAGCCTGGACCAGCAAGGTCCCCCTGCTCTCCGCCTCCACACCGTTTCAGAGGACGGACACGACCACCTTCACAGCGGGCGCTGGGCGTTCTCAGTGACCCGGCTCCTGGCTGTGTGGCTGCATCCCACCCACAGAACTGCCTCCAAAGCTGCTGCCGTTGATCAGCCAAGTCTGGGTTCTAAGTTCCTCGTGGTCATCTCAACAACGTCAGCACCTTCACCAGGAGTAGATGAAAGAAAAAGAAAGAAAGAAAGAGAGGGAGAGGGAGAGAGAGAGGGAGGGAGGGAGGGAGGAAAGAAAGAAAGAAATGAAAGAAAGGAAGAAAGAAAGAAAGAGGGAGGGAGGGAAGGAAGGAAGGAAGAAAACAAACCCCACTTTCTTGGCTTATTTATAAGAAGCAATTAAAGTTCTATCCCGAGATTGCAGCAGTTCCGTCCCACCTTCGGGCTCCAGTTCTTCTTCTGATTCCCCAGCTACGTCCACCGTGTGCACCTTCAGTGACCCCCCCACTGAAGCCTGGAACCCCTCGCAGCCATCCGTGAGGGCGGGACACAGCTTCCTTCCAGCGCCTGTTCCTGTGGACGCTCTGACTTCTCCCCACGAATCGCTGGTGTTCGTCATGGCGTCCAGGACGGCGAATCATTTCCACAAGATCTGCAGTTCAGTTTGCCCGGATCCGCCAGAGGAAACGCGAGCTGTGGCAGTGACGGCCTTCTGAGATGCATTTCTTAGGATGTGGAAGGCACTTATTACTAATCAGTCAGGCCACAGTTTGTTTCCGATACGAAGTGTGCGGCTGGAAGATCCTCATACTTATTCCTGGGGGAAACCTTCCAGGATCACGAAATTTACCCAGTGAGTTTGGTCCGTCATAAATACAGGTGAATCACAGGGGGAAAGTTTGGAAGAGAAATTTTGTTTGCCTCCAAACCTGACATCTTTTCTATTTTATTTAAAGCTGGCAACAGAAATAACCGGCTAGCCATATGATTTGACTTGTGTGTGAGATCTGAAGAACAAAATAAAATAAAAGCGGACACACAGATGATGCAGAGGACAGATGGGGAGCTGTCGGAGGGAGGAGGTCGAGGGCTGGGGGAGGAAGGCGAAGGGACGGAGGAGCACAGGCTGGTGGCTACAGAAGGGTCACGCAGATGTCGCAGAGACCTGGAGTGCAGCAGGGGTGCAGGTGGTGTCGCCATGGCTGTGTGGGGAGGGGCCCCTCTGCACAGCGTGTGAGTCTCTAACCGCTGCGCTCTGCATCTGACACGAACGCGGAATAACATGGAATGCAGACTGTACCTGGAAAATAAAACAATAATAACAGGGAAGAATTTTTGTAACGATGTAAGCAAGTCACTTTTGTCCTTGCATACATTTAATTTGCCTCAATTATTGCTTCTAATTTATGTGTCCTCGCAAACAGAATGTCGGGATGTTTCGCTGACACCCGTGAGCTCTGATGTGTTGACACCGCGCCCTTCCACAACCATTTCTGCCTCCGCGGGTACTGGCTGGATCGCTTCCAAAACCCATTAGGCTATTTATGCTGTTGCTGGTCTTAAAATGTTACATTTGCCAATTACCTCCTGAAATCCAGAGTTTGCTTCTGTTTACGGTCACTAAAGATACTTTAGCACTTTAGCTTTTCAGCAAATAATAAGGCCCTTCTTTTGTTATATGTGCCACGTTTTGCTAAATGCCTTAGCAAACTTAAAAGAACTAAAATATTGAGTGCAAATGAATTCACCTGTAGTTTCTTTTCTTGTTGCAAGAACTATCAAACTCAGAAGGCTCCAGAAAGGATACAGTGGCCAAAGAAATGGATGTATAGGAGGGTTCGAGGGGATGGAAGCGGGGGAGCACTCCAAACACTCGGAACAGGAAGTTTCGAGCCTCTCTCGGGAGCAGCACACTTCTCCTTTCGTTCAACACAACGCATCATATGGATACAGTTTCTGCAGAGGCAGCAGACACAGATACTGCAAACTCACAGCGGGAGGCGGATCCCGTTGTCACTGCTTTTTACATGCACTCTATAAACTCTCTGATCCAACTACGTTCTTCTGTTTAGGGTTTGCCATATGCTTTTATACAGGGGCAGACACAAAACTATTAAAGAAAGATGGGAAGGTTGTTCAGACATACAAACCAAGGGTCAGCGGGCCCCGGCAGCTGTGTGACCTGGAATTGGCCGCTGACCGGTGGCCCCTCCTGGAACTCACTCGGCGGGTGGTGGAGCGGGAGGTGGAGCGGGAGGGTGTGAAGCCTTGGAAACGGAGACTGCAAGCAGGTGCTGTCGTCTCTGCACTGCTCGGTGACAGCAGGCACACACGATCAGTTTTCTCCTTGCGGCTGTCCCCAAACATCACAGGGGCATGAAAGCTGCAAAGCTGATCCCCAAATCTACGGATCAGCATTTGCCTCCATCCCTTTCCACGCGTGGCAAGAATTTCATCTTTAAAAGCGAAGACGAGGACGGGGGGGGGGCGGCGCGGGGACGTTGGAGCCTGACCCTCCAACAGTCAGAATCAGCGCGCCCCCTGGGGGCCGCGTGGCCGTAAAGAGGAGTTCACCGCAGAACTATGGCCCCGATGAAGTTCCCACTGCGGTTACCTCCCTGTTCCTTTCTCAGGAATCCGCAACCTTACCTCCGTTACAGAAAATCCGATCTACATCCACAGGGAAAGGAATATTATTCGGTCATAAAAAGGAATGAGATCCATTTGTGACAACACGGAAGAAGCTCGAGGGAATTAATTCTACGGAGTGAAATAAGTCAGACAGCGAAAGACAAACACTATGATCCGCTTACATGTGGAATCTTTAAAAAAACAAGCTCAAAGACATTAAGAACAGATTGGTGGCTGGGGGGTGGGAGAAGGGGTTCAAGGGTAAAAACGTCCAGCTATAAAACAAACCAGTCACAGGAATGGGTGTCGAGCGGAGAAAAAAATCCCACGTCTTGTTCTAAAGATTAACCACACCTCCCCCTCATTCTAATGCCCACCTGTTTCCAGTGGTTCTTAAAAAGGGCACTGCAGACACTGAGAAACAGATGCTCATTTCCTAAACACAGATGCTTGGATTTGTACTAAATTTAGAGGACAAGCCCTGGCTGGTGTAGCTCAGTGGATTGAGCGTGGGCTGCGAACCAAAGTGTTGCAGGTTCGATTCCCAGTCAGGGCACATGCCTGGGTTGCTAGGCCATGACCCCCAGCAACCGCACATTGATGTTTCTCTGTCTCTCTCTTTCTCCCTCCCTTCCCTCTCTAAAAATAAATACATAAAATCTTTTTAAAAAATTGAGAGGACAGAAGTCTTCTCCCCTCACTGTACGAGAACTCCTGACGGATCCTCAAGGGCTGGCCCTGACCTTTCTGCCCCCCTGCCCTGACCCCTTGCTTCTAGCTCCAGGGCTTGGAACGTGGAAAGGATGAAAAGTGTGTCGTCACACTGAATACACGTGGCCCGTGACCTGCAGCCGGGTGCCCTGGTCCCACCCCAGCAGGCCGCTGAGCAAACCGGTGAAATGCCCTGCAAACATGTGGCCCTTCCCAGCTGGACTCCACGTTGCCAGGTGCAGGGATCTCGCCTTTCTCATCAACCTGATCAGGAAATTAAATTAAAGGAAATTAAATAGACACCAGTATTGCCGAGTAAAGTGTGAAGGGAGAAAAAAAATACGCAAAGTCTGAATGGTATAACAGGATCAGGCTGCTGGAGACGCAAACGAATTACAAATGCCAGCGATTTTCAACTTTTTTCATCTCGTGGCACACATAAACTAATTACTAAAATTCTGTGACGCACCAGCCAATATGTTACACTTTTTGCCAATCTGACAAAAAATTTTAAAAACAGGTATAATTTTGATTCATGCACACTGTTCAGCTATTGCTGTGTTGCCTGTTGACATTTTTTTATTTGACAATCTAAGGGAAAAGAGGACGGTGACTAGATAGTCAGGGGCTGCATGTTTTAAAAACTCTTGCGAGTCCCCGACCAGGCGGCTCAGTGGGGTCGAGTGTGGTCCAGCGGCACCGTGGGTTCCATCCCGGGCCAGGGCACATGCAAGAAGCAACCAATGCGTGCATAAATCAGTGGAACAAGCCGATGTTTCCTACTCTCTGAAAAAATCAATCAAGAAGAAATATTCTTGCAACACAGTGGTTGAAAATCGCGACTCATACAAAAGAGGGGTATCTACTCCAGTTTCTGGAGCTTTTCCGGGCCAGGTTGTCTAGCAACCTCCAGAGCGTCGCAGCCCAGCCCTCGCCACGCCCCTAGCCACGCCCCTAGCCACGCCTCTGCTCTTCACCCGAGCCTGGTGCACACACACACTTCCGCCCCAAACGGCCAGCTGGGTCCTACAGTCCTACTACCTGACCCACGTTTGTGGTGCCTGACAGAAATATAGAAGCAAACAACCGCTTTTAGGAAAATGCTGATTCCATACAATCCACATGTCGTTCTCAGAGCAGTAAATGCAAAATCAGTGGGTATTTGTAGCTCGCAGTCTCCGCCCAGACGAACATCCGAAGCCGATGCTCAGGCAGTGCCTTGGACAGCAGCACCTCTGGAGGCCCCCAGTGTGCAGGGAGACGTGGACTTGAGTGCGAAGGCGCTTCCGACCCCGCGGCGGAAGCGGAAGTGCCGCTCCTCGGGAAGGTGGCGGATCTGCCCAGACCGGCTCCACGATGTAAGTGCTGGCCTGCGGCCGCGCGGGTGGTCGATCCCACTGCCGACCTTAACTCTCTCCCGCTCTCTTCCGCAGGTCCAAGGTTTCCTTTAAGATCACGCTGACGTCCGACCCGCGGCTGCCGTACAAAGTGTGAGTGTCTCCACCGCGGGGAGCTGAGCGGGGCCGGCCGGGTGGAGCCTGGCGCCCGCAGCAACTCCCACCCCGGCAGTCCGCATCCTTCCTTCCCCGCGCTCCTGGAAGCCTCCCCGGCCCACCCGGACCTGAGCGCAGATCCCGGCCGGGCGCGGGGGTGCGGGGCGCCGGGCGCGGGACCGCCCCTCGGGGCTGACTCGCTGGGGCAGCGGGGGTGGGACGGGCGGACAGTGGACCGGGCTCTGAGAATGATTATTGCGATCCTTTAACAGTCCCTGTCCGCTCGTGGTTGGAAAGGCCTTTCCCCGTCGAACAGCTGTTGGAGGAAGGAAGAGGAGATGTCCCCGTCCAGGATCCCAAATTACCTGGACATTTATTATTGTTGGGCGTCTGATGCGTGCCCTGTGTGAGACCTTAGCATTACACCTTATCCAGAAAGGAGTGATGCGCAGAGATAGGCTCCTTATTCGTGCGGGGCCTTTTTTATCCTCGCGCCTGGGGCACGGGTCTAACCTGGACCTTCTAACCTGGATCCTCCACCCGGACCTTGACGTGGTCGTAGGTGAACGGGATCGAGGCCGTCGCAGCTGGGAGGCATGTGCGATGTAGCCGAGGTCGGGTCTGCAGTGGGATTTTGTGCGTAATAAATAGCAGTGAGTTGGTAAATAATTGCTACCGCGACCCCCCTAATCGGACACTGTTGGTCTCCGTGACTTTGCTCTGCTACCCTGGCAGCCTCCTCGCCTTTCCCTGCCTTGATCGGTTTCTCTCCACGCGAATCGCGCCACCTATAACGTCATTTTCCAACTCTCTTTTGAATAACCACACCTTCTTCCTACAGCTGATTTACTCCCATATTTCTTCTTTGAAAATGTTTCTTTGTATTCATTGATGATCGGCTTCTAAATTTTCCCTCTCCCCCATGCCTTCCCCAGCGTCTTTCCTTCTGACCCAGCCGAGGGGCTTCGGTCCATCTGGGCGTCACTCTCTTGCAAACACCCTCGACTCTGGAATCGCGGTCCGCCCCCCCCACCCCCGCCCCCCAGTGCATCCTGGGGAGCACTGGGTGAAGCACCAGCTGTGAACTGCGCCCCTGGGCTCTCCGCCCAGGCCTAAACGCTCCCGGAGAAAATGACGGGGTTCACTAAACCCGATGGCTGTGCTGGGTCATAGCCATAAATCTGCTGCATTTCCCAGATTTGCTTCTTTTCCTCTTTATTCTCTGAAAGGATTTTTTTTTAATTTATCTTCGTACTTCCTACAGTTCTTTCCCCCGTGTCTTTCAAGCCATCAGGGAAAATGTCTCTCCTCTTCCCACCACATCTGGAACGCTGCCCCATCTCTGTAAACCTGCGGTTTCTGTCTCCACTCTTGCTGGGCTGGAACACGGGGCTGGACTCCAGTGAAAAGCGAGTGGCGCCACTTTTCCGATCGGATCTGCCTCGGGCTCTCGAGTGGAGCTGTGGGCACCACCATCTCAGCGATCCGGCCAGTTGCTTAGTTTTAGTTTTAGCGTTCGTGGCTGTCATGGGCAGTCAGAATACATGGCGTTCAGACTAAAAGACGGATTTGTGTAGGTCTGCTACAGTAGCTGTTGTGGGGGACAAAAGAGCTTTAAAAAAATCACCTTTTAAAAAAATTCTTTTCACTTCTTGCAGACTCAGTGTTCCTGAAAGTACACCTTTCACAGCCGTCTTAAAGTTTGCAGCAGAAGAAGTAAGTGTGGGATCGGAACAACGGGTATGGAGTGGAGCTGGGCGGTGTGTCCCCGACTTTCGATTCTGCAGGTGCTTTTGACTCACCACGCCCATGTGGCTTCCAGAAGGTTAAGCTCCGCCCTGGCTGAGCAGCTCAGCTGGTTAGAGTGTCCCCCCTCCATACACCACGGTTGTGGGTTCGATCCCCCATCAGGGCACACGCAGGAAGCAGCCAGTGAGTGCATGACCGGGTGGACCAAGTCAGCGTTTATCTCTCTCTCTCTCCCTCTTCTTTCCTCCCTCCCTCTCCCTTCCTCTGCCTCTCTAAAACCAATAATTTTTTTAAAAGTTCAGCTAATTTACAGATACAAGTGGAATGAAAGTTAAGACTTACATAAGAACGAGTTCAACAACTTGACACATCTGTTCAGTGGAACCATTGAAAATTAAAGGCAAATTCTTATTGAACTTGAAAAGGTTTGGTGATATGTAAACTTTTTTAAATAGCAACATGTCACCGTAGTCTGAACAGTCACATTTTTACTGCTTTTGATCCTAGAATTACAATATTTTAAATATCACATTTTTCAGATTTTTGTGTGAGTATGGACTGTCAGTAAAATTGTTGTTTTTGAAAGTGTCTAGTTTATTAAAACATTTTGGCTTTCTGTTTTTAAAAAATAAAAGTTATCCTTAGAAGCTTCTATAAAGCATCACTTTGGACCTGACTCTGGGGGTGGTCGCTTGGGTAGAAATAGCACCCACATGTGACACCCACGGGAGACAGCGTCACCACTTTAAATGTCATTAACCATCTGTGTGACGTCAGCCAGCCTCTCGGTTCCTGTGTCCCTCGGATCCCTTGATCTGTGACGTGGGAGCGTGTGGTTAACGGCCGTTCCTTCCGCCCGACTCAGCGCTTTTGAGTAGAAATGTAACGGTGTGGACCGAGACCCTGCGCACTCAGAGCGCCATGCTGGTACACAGCGAATTGGCGGCGGTTTGCTGGAGGCACCGTCAGAGCGTCCCCCCACCCCCGGGGGTCCGAGTCGGCAGTCCAGTCCACAGAGAAGCGAGGAAGGCGGGAGCCCTGGAGGCTGGGGGGGTCCTCCCGTCAAACACCGCAGAGGGTTGATTTGAGCTTTTCCACGGAGAAGCCGCAGGGACGTTCTGAGCAGCTGTTTGCTCGTCTGGTTTTGAGAGGCGGTGACACGGGATGAAAACGACACGTCCTAGCCCACAAGAGCCGACGTTCCCGGGCCGCAGAGTCGCTGCTGGTCGGTCGGTCTTGTGGGTGTTTTCGTGTTTGTAGTGAGTGAAATACAGTGCACTTCACAGTCCTGGACACAGTGAAGTGTGTTTACGGGACAAGATTAATTTTTTTAAAAAGCCAATTATGGTAGCACTTTTTTGGATGGTGTTACTTACCCTAAACGATGTGCACGTGTTGGAATTACATGTGCACCCTCCCTGCTAAGCCACCCACCCTGCGCAGAGTGTCTGTGTCTAAAATCTGTTTTCTCCCCTTTAGTTTAAAGTTCCTGCGGCCACGAGTGCCATTATTACAAACGGTAAGGATTCATTTTAATTCTATTTATTACGTCAGAACTATAGACACTATGCAAAAGAAGTCAAAGTAGTCAAAATTGGCTTAAATGTAAAAAAGCCTAAAATGTACGTCGACATTAAGGACGCACGTGACCGTGAGCACTTCCGCCAGAGTATCGCCGCGGTAACTTGTGTCGGCCGCGGCGTTTTCAGTGAGGCCGTCGGTGAACGCGTGTAGAGTCCCGAAGCTAGAACGCGCCTTCGCTGGGCCTTGTCTGCGCTCCGCCTGACCCCTGGTGCCTGCTGGCGGGAGTGAGGGTTTAGTCCGGCGGGCCGGCTCCGTGCGAAAACGCCGCAGCCGCGGGAGGCATGGCCGCGTGCAGAGCACCCCGGTGGCTCCCGGCGCCGGCGGGCCGACGTGGCTCTCCGTTCGGAGGGGGCTGGCCTGCTCCCCCGAAGGCTTTAGGGTCATCGGGGCTCGGTAAACTGTGACTGTGATGGGCGCCCGCGGAGCTTGCACTCCGGGCCTTCGGAGCGCGCTTAGAGCGCGGAGGCCTCCCGGGGGCGGGGCGGGGCGGGGCCGTGCGCACGCGCAGCAGCGGCACGTGTCGGCGCGTCCTTCGCCCGCCACGCCGGCGTCTCGCGTTCTCGCCAGTCCGTTGCTGCCGTGGGACCGTTTCGGCGGTGGAATAACCTGGACGGCCTTGTCGTTTGTCTTCCAGATGGAATCGGAATAAACCCCGCGCAGACCGCTGGTGAGTGCCCGTCCGCAACCCGAGGAGCCGGGCGGGGCGGCACGTGGGCTAGGTGGGACGTCACCGGGACGACAGCGGGTTTCCGGGCCGGGTGCCAGCCTCTCCCCGCGTGTCTGGGCAGGAACTCGTGCCAGTGCACGTGACGGCCTGCTTCGTGCTCCGCGGGGCGGAGACCTGAGTGACGAGCGTCACGGGGAGCGACGCCCCGCAGAGGGTCGGAAGGGGAGTTTGCACTGGCCGCCGCCCCGCCCCTCCCCTCGGGCACAGCCGCTGCCGACCCGGGAGGAGCCCCGCACCGAGGTTCCGGCTAGAAACCCGGCCCGAGTGCGCCGACTCTGTAACGGGCAGCCTCGTATCTTTAAATGGATCTTGTGTGGCTGGTGTAATCTAATTATAATCTTTTGAAATGAAGCTTGTTTTACTAAAAGGTTACCTCGGTCTTGAGCCGTACTTAAAGTACTTCTGTCTTACAACAGAATTGTATTTTCCCTAGAGATCTTGGGGTTGAAATTCTTGAAGAGGGATTTAAAGTTGTTACTGTTTTAAACTTCAGTGTTTTAGGTATGTCATGTTAATGAGTTGGAAGGGTTCTTCCCCGAAAATCATGAGGCACTTTGCAGTGTAGACACCTTTGAACCGGGGGTCGAAGGTTTTGCTCCCTGGCTGTAGAAACGTCTGGTTCGCACGGCAGCCGGAGGGGCCGGAGGCGGCGCCCGGCCTGAGTCGGCGGGTCTCTGCACCTGGGTGTCCTGTGGCCGTGAAGGGTCGTGGTTCTCCTGGGCGTGGGTGTTCTGTTGTGCACCAAGCGAGTGTTGATTAAACCGATTCCGGCTGCGACGCGCTGGGTGGACCGGTCAGCGTTCTTGCGGGGGCGCCCCGCTCGGAGTCCGCAGGCCTGGGGCCGGGCTGTGGGCGGGGGGCCGCGGGAGCCGCGAAGCCCGGGCCGGCGTCCTGACGGCGCTTGTGCGGTGGGGCCTGCTCACTCCCCGCTGCTCTGTTCGCCGTGTGCGGCGGCCGCTGGGCCGTCGGGACCACTTGTCCTCTGCGCACCTGACGCGGCGTTTTGTTTGTTTGTGTAGGCAACGTTTTTCTAAAGCACGGCTCCGAGCTGCGCATCATTCCTCGAGACCGCGTCGGAAGCTGCTGATGCCCCGCTCCGCTTGGAAGATAGGGTTGCCTTCCAGAGGAGGCCTGGTGGTGTTGCGAGCGGAAAGGAGGCATGTGCGACGCTGTGGAAACCCCGACGGCTGACCGCGCGACGAGAGGCCGCCCTCTGCCCCTCCCGCCGCGGCCGCTCCTCGCGGGAGGAGGGCCCGGCCGCGCCCGAGGTCTTGCCTCTCGCGCGTCTCGTCCCTTTCGGGGAGAGGACTTCCCGCTGTGTTCATCTCACTGGAGGGTGCTTCCGATGGTTCCCCCTGAGGACACTTGGACGATTAAATGTATTGAATCTTTCTGTTTGTCTCCAAGTTAAAACTGTAAAAAGATCACGGCTCATACATGGCGGTTGCTGGGCAGGATCTGACTTGCAGGCTCACGGTACGCAGTTGAATTCTTAACCGTGTACCACGTGCGGGAAAGGACGCAAACATATCAGTGAACACGTGACGGCCTTCCCTGCTTGTCCTTTAGGTGTGTTTTCAGTGTGAAGCCCCGTGTGTCCGTATAAATGGTAATTTAAGAGCAGAGCCCACAGTCACTCGTGTCCGATCCACCCTCGTTTCGGCGTGTGAACCAGTGCCCCGCACCGGAGCTCCGAGTCTGGTCGTGGAGAGCCCGGTGCTGGTAACGGTGAGGACCGGAGCGAAGCGGCAGCGCCCTCCCCGAGCCCAGAGCAGGGGTTCCCGGGGGCGCGGCCTAAGGCGCCTTCAGGAGGAGGCCGCGAAGAAGGCCGGGGCGCCCGGCAGAGCTCCGGCAAAGGCCCGCGGTCGGTCCAGGGGGAGTGAAGACGGGCCCCGTGGGGGAGGGGCGGGCAGAGCGCCTCGGGCCTCCCCGGACTCCAGCCGGGCAGGGGAAGGGGCGGCGTGCGGTGACTGGGGCCCGGTGCTCCACTGCTGTGCGGCAGGCGGCAGCCCCCGGGGAGCGTGTCCTGCGGACTCTGGCCCGGACGTGCAGTCCGCTCCCGGCGAGTCCTCGCGGGTTCTCGGGAGTGAAGCGTCCCCGAAGGCCAGAGTCACGAGGGCACGTTCCGCCCCGCCCCGCGGGCGGTCCTGGGCTCCCTGGGGCAGAGGGCAGGGAACGTGGGGAAGCCCACGTGTGACGTGGGTGGCTGGGCGTGAGCAGTTTCGCAGACGCTGTGGGTGTTGGTACACGAGCCCCGGGACTCCGGGTTGCGAAGGGGACAGTCTTTGCTGGGTTAGAAAAGGACGCTTCCGATGCTGGGGCGAGTTCGTACTTTCATACACAAAGTCGGACGCTCAGATGCCCCGGGTCCTTCCCAGTATTGACCTCAGTCGGCCAGAAGCGTGTGAATGCCCTGCCCTGGTTTTTTGTTTAATTTACATCCCCCCGTCTCCAGCACAGAACCTGCCTGCCACACGAATAAGTTTACGCTGTCCTGTGCCATCAAGTAATTTACTATTTTTCTTTGGGTTTGAAAATTTTACTGTAATAAGTTCTTAAAAACGTTTCCTTAAAGAACTAGACCTTCTGTTGTTGAATAAACGTGACCTGTAAGTTCTTCGTGTGGCACGTGTCGAAGTGTTTCTTTGAATGCGTCACTGACACGGGATAGTTTACAGAAGCACGTTTTGTGGTGCCGTAAACCGCAGGTTCTACTCTTACTCTGTTACTAACACTTCTAGTTGGCACACCTGTTAAGCCAGTGCACAACAAGCAAAACAAGGAAGGGGGAGGGCCAGTGAGCCCTCAGGCGCAGGTAGCGGCAGGGGCCCTAGAAGTGAGCGCGTGCTTCCAGGCGCCAGCCGGGGAGGCCTCGGCGGGCGGGGCCGAGCCTGGGGGGCGGTGGCCCGAGCCGCTCTGGGACGTGGGAGCGCAGGCTCCTGGAGACGACCCCGGAGCACGCCAGAGCGCCGAGGCGGCGAGTCTGGCGGCGCGTCAGGGTCTCTGTTCGCAGAGCGCGGTCCAGCACAGCCGTTCCGCTGGGCCGCTGGACAGAGTCCCCGGGGCGGGGCCCTTTCCACTGCCCGGCTCCATAGCCGCCCCGCGCGAGGACGCCCCTCGGCGGTCTGGCCCGCTCCCTGGGACCGACGCCAGCGCGGTCTCGTTTCCCGGCCGGCGTGACTCTGCCGGAGCGTCCTCCTGTGAACCAGGGCGTCTGGGGTTGACTCGGGGTCAGGACGCGTGCTTGGGGGCGGGTCCGGTCCCGGCCGGGTCCCGGCCGGGGTGTGTTCGAGCGGCAGCCGGTCCGCGTCCCTCCCTCCCACCGATGTCTCTCGCCCTCTCAGCTGCCCCCCTCAGTTCCAACACCAGTCGGCGGGCCCTCCTCGGCCAGGAGTCGATGTAACAAAGGAAAAAGTTGGTTCTGTGAGAGGAGAGTCAGGGAGAAGAGACTCAGCCTGTTAGCCCCCCCCCCCAAATTAGGACTCTAAACGCACCCACCACATCTCTGCCCGAGGGCCTCGGGGGCACTCGCACACGCGAGCGGAGCAATCCCAAGTTGGCTGATTGATCACATATACTGTTCCCAAATCTGTCTGTAAAACTGAAAGTGACATAAGTCACTGTGTGTGTGTGTGTGTGTGTGTGACTCGTGTGTAACTCAAATACATGGACTGTGTATGTCATTCAAATGTGTCGAACACCTGAGTGTGTGGCATTTTGATACTTTCACTTACGCCTCACAGTTTTGCCTGGTTGTCATCCCCATTTCACAGAAGGAAGAGGTTCGCAGGGGCTGGGATTTGGAACTCCCCACGTCCTGCTGGCAGAGCCGCCGGGGCCCGGACGTGGGTGTACTGGCCGTGCGGTGTTGCTCCTCACCCTGGGCTGTGCCGGGGCACGAATGTGGTGAGGGTCCGTGGGGCAGCACGGGGAAACCAGCCCAACAGAGGTGGGGAGGGTTCGGGGGCGGCACCGGGGCGGCAGCAGGGGCACGGACCACGGCCCAGACGGACCCGTCCCGCCGGACTGTCGCTGTCCACTCTCCTGTCTCGTGGAGGGGGCCCGGGAACCTGCCTGCCCAGCCGCGCTGCCCGGGAGCCCCCGCACTTGTGAGACCCCGGGGCCGCTGTCTGACGGTCGGTGCTGGGGACGGACGCGTGGCTCCAGGCTGTGCACCGGAGCCGTGACTGGAAATGAAGGTTCTCACGAGGCCCGACCTGTCCAGTCTGTAGCCGCGCCCCCCGCCCTGGCTGCCCAAGTCCTTCCCCCCGCTTCCCGCAGCGAGCGAGCCACAAGACTCTGTCGGTCCTGTTTACAAACCCGTGCCGCACGGCCGCCCCCCTGTCTGATGAAAGCCCCCTCCGCCGCGTGCTGTGTGGGAGCCTCTAGTCCCCGCTGTCCCGCTGCCCTCAGAGCCTGTGGGTGCCGTCTGCGGCGCCACCACCCGTCAGACCCCGGCTCACGGGAAGTCGGACCCTTCGAGGAGACACGAGGCCCTTCGCGGACCGGGCGCCGTTCCGAGTCTCCTGTTCCCGTGTCCTCGCCCAGTCCACACCGCAGCACCCGCTCTGCAGTCTCGCCCTGCGCCACGTCCCTGGGCCTCCCGGCCTCTACTCTCCCCGCCCACCTCCCCACCGTCTGCCTGGGAACCGGGCCTCGGCCCCCCAGGGCAGAGCCGCCCAGCGGAGGCCGGCGTGCGGCCGTCCGAGCAGCGGCGCATCCTGTGCTTTTCCTCGCGCCGGCAGGAGGTCAGCGTAGAGCCTCAGCGCCTGTCTCTGACTCGAGCTGTGAGCCGCGTGAAGGCGTCGAGGTCGTGGCCGCTCTGCCCGTCCGTCCGTAGGAGACAGGAGACCGTCGGTGAGCACGACCCAGAAAGGGGAGTGAGAACTTCGAAAGCTGCGACTGTCTGTGACTCAAACGCAGTAACGTCTGCAGGCAGACTACTTGACTCACCAACATGCTTGCGTCTGTCCCATTTTTTGTGTTGGGATTCACTCTGTCTCAGCAATGAATCAATCACTCCAGTTCAAAGCATTCACCCATTTTGACAAATACATACATACATTATTAGCTATGTCACGGATGTTGCTAAGCCCTGGAGATGAATTATGAGTAAAACTCATTCCCCTTTTCGGGGGGGGGGCTCCCTAACAGGCATACACACCCAAAACAGCAAAATCTGTCAAAGAACTGATTGTGGAGAAGTGAAGGAGCACATCAAGTTTGTTTTAACGGGCTGGGCCCGGCGCTAGGCATCTGACATGCGTGACCTTGTCTAACCCTCAGTCTGGCCTCGGGGCGCCGGTGCTGCTTCCCCCCCTCCTGCTGAGGAAGCCGGTTGCGGGTGCACGCGGCTGGAGCCAGAGTGAGGGCGGCTCCTGCGTGGCTGGGAAGCCCGCCCGGGCACCGGCACACGCGCCGTCACGTCCCTAGACCGGTGTCACGCGTGTTGTCCCGGACGAGGGGCCCGTCTGGGAAGGCCCCCCGACCTGCCATCGGACCCTCCCGCCGCCTCCCCGTGCGGGAGAAAGGGAACGTCCAGTAAGTGTGCTGCACAGACACACTCAGAGTCTCTCTCAGCCCCCCCCCACACACACACACGCGCACGCGCTTGTAACGACAGAGAACCGGGAGCGTTTGAGAAGCAGCTCACGGCTCCATCACCCTCCTGCCCCGCTGCATGTCCGTAGGTGCCGCCGCCGCCACGGTGATCCTGCCGCCGCACGCACCGCCGGCCGGGCCTGGCAGGCAGCCGCGCAGAGCCGGTTCCTGGCACGCGTCTCCGGTTTCCTGGCAGAGCCCCTCGGCGACGCGGAAGCTGAGACGGGGAGCACATTGTGGCTCTGCACCATGTCAGTGTTTGTGTGGCTGCGGGACGCTGGGTTTAATAAACTAACCCACGAGCGCGCGACGCACAGCGGCGAGCTGTTTGAGAAATAAGCCGTGACGTTTGTCGTCGGCGCCACACGCGTCTCCAGGTCTTGCGTGGAGATGCTGGTCGGGTCTCCTGGGCACGTGCCCGCATGGACCTGGGCCTCCTGCAACCCCTGGGGGGTCGTTGTGTGGGGATGGAGCGTCCCTGGGGGACAGCGAGTGCGTGAGTCGGGCTTGGGGGTCTCGGTCCTCGGGGACGGCCGCCGGGACCCGCATCCCGTGCCGGTCCTCAGTTCGGCCCACACAGATGTGCGGGGATACTGAATCATTTGTGTTTGTCGTCTCGGGTGTGTGTGCGTGGGGGGGTGGTGCCTGGCACTCAGAGCCTTACACCTCAAGTCCTGTAAAGGAGCGGTCCTGTTCACATCTGTCTCGCTGAAAAGACCGTACACAAAAACAGCCGCGCACGGACAGCTGACACTGAGTGTCGCCGTGTGTCAGGCACCTCACGTTCCATACTCCCACTTGTCCTCACTGTGGTCTGTGAAGGCGGTAACATGGGTTTGTCACGCTTGAAGCCGGGACTCGGAAAGACCTCGGTGACTCTCCCACGGCCACAGGACGGTGTGCAGGGGTGGTGTCAGTGAAACCCCACCCGGGAGGCCCCGGCGCGCTGCTGGCGGGCGCCCCGCGCAGCCTCCTGGACGGGCCGGCGAATCGGCCGGGACCCAGGGAGCGGGCCCCGCCCTGGGGCCGCACCCCCCTCCCCTGCCGTCCGGCCTGCTCGGTCGTCCTGACGGCCGCTCACCCGGCCACGTAGCCTCGGAAAGCCACCAGGCGGGAAGGGGGTGACATGGAGAGTCGCCTGTACGGGTACACCTGCATTTCTTCCGGTTTGTCTGTTTGAAATGTGTCCCGGCCCAGAGGTGAGAGAGACCTGTCCCCTGCCCGTCCGAGGTAAAGGTCACGCGGCCTGGGCAGCGGCTGCTCAGGACCCGGCTCCTGCGGGCCGCGGCATCATCATCCTGGCCTGAGTCCCGACGAGCCCTCGTCGCGGCTTCCCAGCCACAGACGGTGTCTGGGCAGGAGCAGCGGCCCGGCCCGAGGCCACGGTGGGTGACCCCAGAGGCCAGAGGCAGGGTGAGAAACCGGGGGTGAGGCGGGCGGGTCAGGCCGGCAGGAAGGTCGTGAGCACAGGAGGGGACACCGCGGTGGCGGTGGAGCTGGGAGCTGGGGGTGAAGATGGCGCTGCAAACCCTCGCGGGCAGTGGAGGGGCTACGGCACCGGCACGGGGCGTGTCCGCGGGCGTTAGGTGCCCAGGGAGGGAGGAGCGGAGAGCCTGGTGCGGGCGGGTCCTGGCCGCTGCTCGGGGATCAGAACTGTCCTGTGAGGCAGCCGTCCCCGTGGAGAGCGGAGGAACTGAGGCCCAGCACCGGCCTGTCCCCGGCCGGCCCCCCTTTCGTGGGCGGACTGCAGTCCAGCGCGGACACGGGGCGGGCAGGCGCTGGCGAGTGCTCACGCTCTGTGCAAACGTCTGTGGAAGGGAGCTGTTAGCAGAGCAACAGTGTCGTCACGTCAACCTTTAATTGAACTGGTTCTCGTAATAAATACTTGGGAACAGAGACTCGCTGTGCTGATAAAGCAATACGACACACACAGGAAGACATGTGCACCTGAAGGTGTCGTGAGCCCATGTATTCTTTTGCTCGGGCGGCTGTCACGAAGCACCCCAGACCGAGTGGCTCACG